AGTTCCAGGCCAGCCTGGTCTACAGAGTGAGTTCCAGGACAGCCAGCACTATACAGAGAAACCCTGTCTTGAAAAAGCAAAAAGACAAACAAAAGAGGAGTATGCATATAGTTGCAAGAATATGTGTGTGTGATAAAGATTTATTTTTAGTATATATGTGTGTGTTGTGTACAGATAAGTACATGTAAACATTTGAGCATAGGTGACATCAGATACTGGATTTAGTTAAAGCATGAAGTTAAAGGTAGTTCTAAACTATGTGATGTAGGTGCTAGGAACTGAACATGGCCTTCTATAAGGCCTTCTCTTAGCCTCTAAGCCATCACTTATCCCTCATAAAAGGCGATTAAACACATCCTAATTCTTTACTGCAATGGTGAGTTCTCTGGGATTGTTTTTTACAATAGAAAGCTCAGTAACAAGTTTATGGTTTATACATACATGCATACATATATATATAATATTCATATTGAAATGTAATATTAAACTTTATAATATACATATATACAAATATTGTTTATATGTTATTTGTATATCATGATAAAAATATGAAGGTGGGAATAGTTGACATTTTAGTAATGTTAGGAGATTCATTAAATTCTCAATCAGCTTAGAACCTTGATGTGCTGGATTTTGAGAGAGTTAAAAATATCTGAGGTTTCTCAGCACCTTCTACTCATAGGGAGCCATCTGCTGGAGGATTGCTTCATATCCTTAGAGCAAAATTAACTTCTTTGGCTTTTAAGTTTCACACTCAATTTTGTGCTCAACTTGAGAAGAGTCTGGCTGTAAAAGTAGTATCATTCCCAGGGCTGTGGTTATTCTTATGTATGTAAACCCTTTTAGCAATATTGCTATTAGGTAAAACAATTTAATCCCATTTATTAATATTGCCATCTGTGTGTGCATGGGTATGCATATGGTGCTTGTGAGTGCAAGTGTATCCATGCCGTGGTGTGGACAGGAGAGGTCAGAGAACAACTGTGGGAGCCAGCTCTGTCTTTCCATCAAGGGTTTCAGGGATGAACCCAAATCTTCAGGTTTCTGTGGCAAGTGACTTGCTCACTGAGCCATCTTTCTGGCCCCTTGTTCTTGATCCTTAGGGTTCTGAGATGCTAGTGAACATTTCAGGATATGGCAGAGACTAATACAGCTCAGCTCAGGGAGTTCCCATCTCCATAGAAGCCTTCTATTTTTTCATGTGCATTAGGTTATTGCCTTAGATCCTGCTTTAAATTTAAAGGAGGAAGGGAAAGGCCAGTGTAAAAAACTCTACCTTATAAAAACTACATAAACAGGCCAAAGGTGAGGATTCATATGAAAAATGAATATTGTAAGAAGGCGGAATAAACAGCTGTCCACAGTCAGGCAAGCAAGACATCCTAGGACAAGGGTTCCCGTTCTGGTACTTTCTCCCAAGCTGGTATGGCACATACCACATCAGCCCTGTGATGTGTTAATGACAGCCTGGAGATGCTCACTATGTGTTTGTCTTTTAGATATAAAAAGAAAAGTGTCTACATTAGAGACCCTAGGACAGCCTTTAGTGAGGTCTGCCTGTGAGAGTGTCAGTGAAATTTGTAGATGTCTTGTCCTGAACAAAAGTAAAGCTTGAATTTTGGTGACAACAGACTGAAGGTATGTTTGTAATTAGTAAGAAAAACAATCCCTAACCATGAGAGGCAACAATTCTGGGTTTGAACAAACTCATCTTAAGCTCTGTTTAGATATTATTTGAAGATTCAAAGTTTTTATTAAATGAACAGCCAGTAAGAAAAAACAAACAAACAGAGCCTACAGATTTCTTCCCTCTTCAGCTAACAATGTGAGTTTGCAAGATAAAGCTGGCAAGGCGTTTTCGTTCCTCAGAGGCTTAACCCCTCAGAAGAACAAAAGAATCCTGTGGGTTATGAAGCCACTCTTCTAACAGAGAGAGGCCAGACAGACAAAATTGTCTTAAAGAGGGTACTGTCTAGACACAATTTTTTCTTCTCTCCTGGCCATGTGCAACAAGACATTTCTTTATTTCAACTCTGAACATACCACTTAATGTCACCAAGCATTGTTCAGCTATCTGACATTGATATCTGACACAGCTCCTTCTTTTCCCTTCCTTCCTTCCTTCCTTCCTTCCTTCCTTCCTTCCTTCCTTCCTTCCTTCCTTCCTTCCTTCCTTCCCCCCCC